GATATTGCCTGGCACATAGTAGGTGCTCAGTGTTCAGTGAATGATAAGTAAATGAATGTATTACAAGAGACAGGAAGGTTTACAAAATATATGCAGTTGGCTATGTATGATACGCTCTGATCGTTTCTTTTCTAATTCAGTGTTCCAATTCAGAAACTTGTTCTACTCATTCTGATCATGACCCACTAAATTGATTTCACGTTTATGAATCATGGCTTGAAAAACAACTTTTTTAGTCTGTTCACAATTGTAAATAAAATTGTGGCTTTTGATTACCTGTCAGATTTTGTCCTTAACAGAGACAAGAGAAATTAAATTATTGGGTGTACCTGTTTAAGACTTGATACAAATTACCAAAATACATTCTAGAAAGATTCTATACCTACTAGTAATGTATCAGAAATTTGTCAACCTATTTTTTTTTTTAATGTCAGTGCTTTTCCAAAACTCTGGTTACATATAGGAAAACCAGTTTCTAGGCTGTGTGCTTCATATTGTAATGGGGAAGAATGAGGTAAATAAGCATCATAATCCTTACCTTACCTCTTTAAACATGTTGGGCTCTATGTCAAAACCTCATGAGATTTTGTGAGAATCACAGTACCTTCCTTGTGTATGTTCTTTGCAGATTCAGGAATTGTTGGGCTTCAGCCCATAGACTTTGTTCCAAATGCGCCCCAACATGCAGTAGATGGGAGACAAGAGGAGATTCCTGTGGTCATTGCTGCATCTGAAGATAGGCTCGGGGGGACCATTGCAGCCATAAATAGCATTCAGCACAACACTCGCTCCAATGTGATTTTCTACATTGTTACGCTCAATGGTACAGCGGACCATCTCCGGTGAGTTTTGCTTGCCAGTAATTCTGATTCTAGAGGATGCTCTAAGTATATATTTTTTCTATACAATTGGGATTATACCACATACCATGTATAAACTGCATGTATGACATGCTTTTCCATATGATTGTATCATAAACTTGTCCCCATCATAGCAGAAATAAGGAATTTGTGCCAGGATGCAAATCAGCTGTGTACAATGTTAACTCAATCTGGGGTTTTCGTTTTGTTTTTTGTAATAAGGTTTTCTCAATGAAGGAAGCAATATGTTGACTTACATCCTGTTATAAGTTCCTTATTTCATGAACATGTTCTGAGTAGCTCTGGTCTAAAGTGGGAAGGAATGTGGGAATAGTGGTAAAGTAGTGTGGTGATGTGAGCATAAACAGATACAAATTCTGGTCCAGAGTGATAGGGGAATGAACTCTTTGGAGCCTGTTTCCTCATCTATAAATGTGGGGGTGCAGAATATCCAGCTTTGAGGATTGTGTCAAGTAAATGGGAAAATATATATTAAAAAAACCTAGCACATAATCATGCTTAGTAAATGGTCCCTACTATTGTAATTGTTGTGATTAATAATAGAAACCCAGTCTGATGGACAGTCTCATCCATGTTTTGAAAATGCTTTGAATTAAGGTTTACAAAGTTTATTCCAAGAACTCTTGTCTAATAGGTTAATAGTTGTTAAAGTTCTAAAACATTTCGGTCCTTATGGCTATCTCCATGGTTCATGTTTAGTTTGTGAAAGTTGTGAATTATTTTTCCATATTTTAAAAACTCAGAAACCATCATTTAATGTAGGGACAAATATTACATTAAAATAGACTACACGAATAACGTGTCCACAAAATGCTGAATTGAAATGTACCTAGAAACAATGTGCAGTACTTCTTTAGAAACACTGGCTTTTCTTACAGGCAGTTCCTTAGACTCAGTTGAAGGAATTCCTTAGTCATCACTGTGAATTAATGAGTCTGTAGATTAATGGACTGATTACCAGCTTTGTTGATAATTAGCTTTCACTACCATTATATTCTTCACCCATGTATTTGTAGGGACAGTTGAAAGGTCCATGTGGTGATAGGATGTTCTCAATTCCATAGTGAGTTCTTCTACAGCAGTTTTAGTGTCAGAGGAGTGACCAAGTGCGAGCCTGGTGGGAACAGTATCCATTAACATAAAATCTTGGTTCAAGGAAGGACTTTGGTGGGAATACTCTCACTTCAGACGAGGAAACCAAGGCTCAGAGAAGTGAAGGGGCTTGAAGATACTTGTTTGGTTTCTCTTACATTATGCCCTCATTGGAAGGCACAAAGATAAAGCTGTGGTTTGGGTACATGATTATTTAAAATTGAAATTTGGTGCTTTATTTTTATCAGGTCCTGGCTCAGCAGCAATACCCTGAAAAGCATCAGGTACAAAATTGTGATTTTTGACACTAGGCTTTTGGAAGGGAAAGTAAAGGAGGATCCTGACCAGGGGGATGCCGTAAAACCAGTGAGTTCCATGCATCTTTGTTTGTGTATAGGAGTATTAGGAAATGATTGGCATATCTGGGTAACTGCAAGTAGTTCCTGGGACCAAGCCTGGGCGGTTCTAAGAGACCTTTGACTGTCTTCTGCATGGGTGAAGCATTCTGGAGTTCCTAGTAAATAAAGCACAGCCACTGATAAATCCTATGCTAATGCCTCTTTCCTTTTTTTTCCCCCAGTTAACCTTTGCAAGGTTCTATTTGCCAATTCTGGTTCCCAGCGCAAAGAAGGCCATATATATGGATGATGATGTAATTGTACAAGGTACCAAAGAATGTCACCCATCGGTGTTCTGTCCAGTGTGTGGGCTGTAGTGATTGTCTTAATTATGGTATCCTATAAAAGGTCTTCCCTAGGAAGAAGTGGGAGGAATACGGAATTGTAAGGTAACTCGAAGTGTAAATCTTACACCTCATCTATTTCAGGTGATATTCTTACCCTCTACAATACACCACTGAAGCCAGGACATGCAGCTGCATTTTCAGAAGATTGTGATTCAGCCTCTACTAAAGTTGTCATCCGTGGAGCAGGGAACCAGGTAAATTACTTATTAGAACCCTTGTAGATAGATACTCCACTCCCTATAAAGCAGGTTAATGTGGAGAGGCAGCAAAATCAGGGAACTCTTATTATTCTTTTTTGATGCATTTTATATTCCCCAATTATTTCATCCCAAAATTCAAGCGTGCTTTCCTACAGATCAGTTCATGGACTTGATGAACTAATTCACCTTGAACATCTGGCTTAATATTTAGTTTTCTATTCTGCCTAACTTGGAATCTGAAATGTCACTTTCACTTGCTTTATGTAGAGCCCTTTGCAAATAATCTGAGCAGTTTAATAAGCAATGTTTCTTTCTTACTGGCTATCAAATTACAGCCATGCACCACATAAGGATGTTTCACATGTACAACTGTGGTCCCGTTAAGCTTATAATGGAACTGAAAAAAATTCCTATTGCTTAGCGACCTAGTAGCTGTCTTAATGTCAACGTGTAATGAATGCATTCATCACTTGTGTTTGTGGTGATGGTGCTATAAACCTACTGTGCTGCCAGTTATATAAACATATAGCACATACAATTATATATAGTACATAACTTGATACTAAATGGCTGTTACTGGTTTATGTATTTCTATACTAATTATCATTAGTGTACCTTACAAAAAATTTGCTGTAAAACAGTATGCGTTTATACCTGCAGCTACCTCATACATTTCATGCTTACTGCGTCTCTTGATTGCCTCATTTTCTCTTGTACTTGATTTAATGTGTTCTGTACAATAACATGCTGTACAGACTTACAGTCTGGGAGCAATAGGCTATACATATAGCCTAGGTGTGTAGGAAGCTATACCATCCAGGTTTGTTGAGTACACTATATGATGTTCATGACCACGAAATCGCTTAAAGATGCATTTCTCAGAACATATTCCTGTCGTTAAGCTATTCTGTTTGAAGCAGTGAACATATCATAAATATATATATATATCTCCCATTTGTGTTTTTAGTACAATTACATTGGATATCTTGACTATAAAAAGGAAAGAATTCGTAAGCTTTCCATGAAAGCCAGCACCTGCTCATTTAATCCTGGAGTTTTTGTGGCAAACTTGACAGAATGGAAAAGACAGAATATAACTAACCAGTTGGAAAAATGGATGAAACTCAATGTAAAGTAAGTATAAAACTGCCTTACCTGTGGAAACTCTTGTATTTCAACTCTGAAATACAAGATACTCTATTTTAATAGAAATTAGGATTCTTCACTAACAGCTTACATGTTCTGTCTCACCAAGAGAGGGACTATATAGCAGAACACTGGCTGGCAGCATCACAACACCTCCTCTGCTGATCGTATTTTATCAACAGCATTCTACCATTGACCCCATGTGGAATGTCCGACACCTTGGTAAGTAGAAGTAATTGACCAAAGGCCTAAGTTAATAAAGAATTATCTAAAGGACTATCCTCAGAGGTGGAATACATCCAGTTTCCCTTCTCCCATTTGATGTGGCATTGTCTTCTGATTAATACAATCATTTGGCTCTTTTTCTCTCAATGTAAGGCTCCAGTGCTGGGAAACGATATTCACCCCAGTTTGTAAAAGCTGCCAAGCTACTCCACTGGAATGGGCATTTTAAGCCGTGGGGAAGAACTGCTTCATATACTGATGTCTGGGAAAAATGGTATATTCCAGACCCAACAGGCAAATTCAGCCTAATCCGAAGACATATGGAGATCTCAAATATAAAGTAAAATGTAATTTATACTACACAAGCATTTCTCAGGAAATCCTGGAAGATAGAATGTGTGAAAAGTAAGTTATGGCACCTCATGGAAAAAAGGACATTTTAGCTGGGTAAAGAGATCAAACTGCACTGTTTGGCAGTCAGCTTCCCAGATAGGCTGCATGTGTCTCCACCTGCCTTACCAGTGTATAGTGCTGAATGACCAGAGGCGAATGGACTCATACGGCTAGTACAGCCAGTTTAATATTGCTGCTTGGTTTTAATTTTGTAACCTGTGGCCCAATCTATAAATAAAATGAAACCTACATTTTTCAACAGGTATCTGATTTTTTGTGTAAGGGTGAGTTGTCTTTTTATGGAATTCAGACACTTTCTACATTGCCTGATTTTTTTTTTAATCAATGTTATCATATACATATTTACAAAATTTACAGCTTATGTCACACGGGAAACGAACTGGTACATCATATGTAGAACAGCATAGGAGTCTGTTCAAAATGTTAAAAAAAAAAACCTTTTAAGAGGACAAAGTTGTTACACATAGTCTATACTAAAGTCATAAGCATCATCTTCCTCTTCAGTCATTTTATCCAAGACATAACATCGTGCAGACTGTTCATCTATATAAGAAAGAAAAGACGTTTAAAAAAGTAGAAACAATTTCATACCACACTGCTTTGTTAGAAGACTCCTTTACCCAACTCACCTGCTTGAGACTCCTCATGCAGTACCTCCCAGGCCTCTTTTACAGGGGACATATCTGAGCTCTTTTCCTATGGGACAAAAAGAAACAGTGCTATACTAGTAGCCCTTGTCTACTCATTAATCCAAGTAAATACGACCTGGGAAAAGTCTCTAAAGGTACACATAATGGAAAGCACAAAACTAATGATTGGAAGACTTAAATATCTAAATTGTGTGGGGCTTTTTGGTAATCTATTATGAAGTATTTGATTTCTACCTTCAGCCCCTTCCCATTTGTTGTACATTATAATGCTGGAAAACTTCCTTCAGCTTAAACAATTCATAGATAACACACTTACACTGGCTTCTTCATCAACGCTTTCCTGGTCATTATCCATGTCTGCATAGTCCTCCCCCACTTCCTGCTTCCTCTCTTTTTGTTTTGGCAATTCTTCAGGTATGTCCGTTTCCTCTATTATTCCATTTGTCAGACCGGAGGACTGGAAAAGGATGCTATTGGCTAAACGAGGGCCCCTGATGGCTAGGAAAGGAACGTAATACACGTAAACAGACTGAGACCTTTCTTTGGCCTGTTAGCTGATGAAGACAGCAGTCAAGCACAAGCCTTGCTTACCTTGTATGCTGTGTGCATTGTTCTTTTCTAGTTCTTCCAGATTAAAGCCCCACTTCATGTCCATCACAATGCTCTCATTAAAATGTGAAGGAAGAGTCCAGGATGCAGGGGGATGGCAATAGTAACCTAAGGAGCCACTGGTATTAAAAACAATATTTGTCAAAAATCAGTTCTTTTATTCCACTGGTCATCAAAATGCTAACAGAAAAAAAGCCTTACCCTGTCCACTCAGACCACAGCAGTTTGGCAGCAACTTCTACATTTGGGCTTCCACCTTTTTGGTGGAGTCCTCTTCTCTGTGCAAGCAAAGTAAAAAATTCCAGAGAACTCTTAAAGTCTGGGACAGTGAATTTCAGTACTACCTTGAAAAAAAAGGAAAAAAGAAAAACAGACTTATCTGATACAGCATGGATATAAAAATTTTTTTTAAATTTTCTACTTTAAATGCTTACAATGAGAAGAGAAAATAGAGCTCAAGGGAAAGGGGTTCTTTTACCTGTCGCGTGTCAGCCTGGGACAGGATGGCACTGGCAGCCTCTACTGGTTTTAGTACTTCAATGCTTGTTGGACTTCTCAGAGCAAGTGCAGTGGGAGAGTTAAGTGGAGACACAATGAAACTTGGGCCATCTATGATTGTGATTTGTTTGTCCAGGGGGACAACCTGCATGCTCCTGGAACAAGAGAGATGGTTAGTTGATGAGGGTACTAGTTTATCTGGAGTACAAGAGACAGAACACGAAGCTCAGGGTTGGATTGAACAAACTCAGCACAGTCTGTCAGATCCAGTTTATCATCACTTGCTTCATGTTTATCTAAAACCGTAACATTGCACCTTCCCCTTCTAAAGAGAAACACCACATTATAGCTTACATATTGACCCAAACACACGCTGTTTCCTCTGCATAAATGTTTCCCCTCTTCTACGTGGCACACTTCTAGCATCACTTTCTCTGAGGCAGCTTTCCCCTTCTCAATCTATTTGCTGGTCTTTCAAACCAGATTGTGGGCAGTTATTCCACTCTACTTCTTACCCTACCCTAGCACTGACTTAACCGTCTTCCTTTCACTAACACCTCTAAGGAAGAATGGGAAATTTTCTTTCATAAGATATCCAAAACAATCATATTTACTCATCTATAATGAAATACTACAATATAGAACAACTCAGTTTACCTCGTAAGCCCCATGGATACACCGACATTACATATCCGTTCTTGTTTTAAGCTATTGATGATACTGCTTTTCCCCACGTTTGGGAAACCTATAAATGGTAAATCCAGATACAAAAAAACATTATATGCTGGTAAGTATAACATTTTCACTGTTTTCTTTTATGCTTGCCTGATGTTTAGACCAAGATCAGAGTTGGATCTGAGTGTCTTCACTTTATCACTAAGACCAATCTCAGAATCCTCATTTCTTACACAAGTAGTGAAGGCAGGAAAAGATGATTAACACATTGTTTGCGGGAAACGAGTAAACTCGTCATAGCGCTTTTTATACCAAAGCGCGGGAGTTAACTCAGGTATAGAGACCTCTTTGTTACGACGCAATTTGGCGGGAAAATGCCCGCTTACAAAGTGTTAATTAAAGTAAACCAACAGCTTTTAGAAGCCAATTTCCTACAGTGCCCAGTTGGCAAAAAAAAAAACCAAAAACAAAAACAGAATTAGGCAGCAATTACTTAAAATTTCTGTCTTTACATTGTTTGCATTCAGTAAGGTGGGCAAGAAGCTAGTGTTTAAACAAGCCCTTCAGGGACAGCAGGTTCAGGTGGTTAGAGTGCAGAATTCCTATCACCAAGGTTGCCGGTTCAATCCCCACATGGGACAGGGAGCTGCGCCCTCCAAAACTAGATTGAAACAACTACTTGACTTGGAGCTGACGGGTTCTGGAAAAAAACACTGTTCCCCAATTAAAAAATAAATGAATAAATAAGCCCTTTATTTAGCAATAACCCCATACACTCTTAACATGGAAAAATTCTTGGGACTTTAAATACTAAGACATAAAATGTGTTGAACTACAACTCACCAATTACTCCAACCTGAATAGCTTTGTCCAAAGTCTCCTGAAAACTTCTAAGAAGCTTCCGAAGACCTTCTTTCCCAATGCAGACTTCACTTTTGAATGGAGCAGCTTTCCTCTTTACCTTCACATTAAAAATGCAAGTAATTAGTTTAACCATTTGACAACCCACCATATAAAAAACTCAAAAATCTGGTCACAGAGTCCAGTCTTAAAATTACCACACTAATGCCTTTCAGATTATCTCTGGATGAAATCAGAGTTGGATCTCAGAAGGTCTCATTTTTTATCAATATTTTGTACACTCATCATATTTCAGCCATCCAAAAATCTGAAAGCCGCCCGCGCCCCCCCTACAGTAAAGGGTACCTTGGTTATCTTCCCTTTACCCTTCAGATTTGTTGAGGCTTTGAACACCACTGTTGGCAATTCCTTCTTCAAATAATTCAGCCAGTTCTCCAGATTTTCCTTTGGTACCAAATCTGACAGGGATTAAGAATAAGACACATGCTCCAATTTGGTCATTTTGTTGAGATGAATTTGCAAAACATGGTAAACTGGATTTCACTCTGGTTTGCCTTTTATTTATTTCCCCCCCAAAAGGATTTAACTGGAAGATGGGGAGAGCGCAAGCTCTCTCCCATACCATCCACATCTTAACAAGAGTTCAATATCTACACCTCTGTATTTCAACTCCCCTCTGTACTGCTCACCCTTTCACGATTAAGCCAACCTCTAGATTCTTACCCTGCCTACCGTAGGGCTATGTTTCCAAGATTTACTCTCCAGTAGCAGCCATATTTATTGACTCCAACAGTAACTTGAGATCCCTTTGTTACTTTCTGCTTCACAGGTCTCTATTCTGAGTTTTCCTATTCGGCTGCTGAAACCAATACATTAACTATGCATTTCATCTAATTATTGTCACATTATCAATCTTGTGCAGGTTGTGGAGAATGACACACTGTCATCACTTCCTATGTGAGATATATTGCACAGTAAACTGAGTATAGAAGCTTATACTCTTAAATAAAGTGGTATTGACTGGCAAAAGAACAGCAGAAACCAGTCAAACCACATGTAAAAAACAGCTGCACCCCTCTGCCCAGCACTGTGTGTCTTTAGCAACAAGAAAGGAAATGCACTAGCATTGATGAGGTCAGAGTTGGATCTTATCAGTCTTCAGTGATAATCAGACTGTTCAGATGTTTTCCTCATACCTCAGTAGTGCATATATTGTAGAACACAAAGGACATCCCTTTTTGCTCACCTGATTTATTTAATACAAGTACCAGCTTTTTCTGTCCATCCTGGACAATGGCCTCTTCTACCTGGGGACACCGGCAACCAAGAGGATCTCTGGCATCCAACACTTCCAGCACAACATCTGAGGCTTCAATCACCTGTCAAGGTATAAACTATCAAAAGAGCAACCCTTGCTCTAAGAACGCCCTCAACACAAGTATACTGGCATTATCCACTTTGTCACAAGGTAAAATGAAAAATGTTCATCATTTCTCACAGGAAAGTAAAACACAGGTTTGCTCAGTAGCTGGCCTCTCATTAAAGTAGATTTCAAAAACGGAAACACCCCCACTGTCTGAATATATAATCCTCCCATAGTGAATTGGGTAGTTTGCTAAGCTTTTGTGGCTCTGCCTAGAGGTGATGAGCAGGATAGTCAAGTTCAATTCCCAGGGGAGAGTGAACTTGGGAAAACAGGTGTGAGGGGTGGGAGTGCTGGGGAGCAACTACACCAAGACACCCCCCTTTGATCTCCTTCACTTAGGTTTCAACAAAGTACTATATTTAGAGACTCTTACTTTCACACTGCTAATGTATTTTCCTTTACTTTAAAAACCACTGTGCCAACATGTTACTTTAACATAAATACCACCTTTGTAAATCATGTGTATGGGGAACTGTTCCAGTGCAAAAATTTAAAACCACAAGAATATTTCCTTCAGCTAACCGTAACAGAAAGGCCCTACCTAAATAGGATAAGCCAATTTGTTGAAGGCTTCCTACCAGCTCAAGTGAACTCTACTCCCAGCTTTACAAGGTTGGTACCAGGAAAAAGGAATGACTCTCGTCTTCTAAACCTCAGTACCATTTTTAGACACTGACCTAGACTAAGATACCTTTTTAAGTTCCTGACAATACAGCTTCTTTGGATTCTGTTTGCCCGACTTGGCTTTGTTCTTAGCGTTGCATTGCCCAAATTCCTAAAGGATAAAGACAAGGGGAAAAGGATCCAGAATTAGAAGTTCAGCAAGTATAACCTTTCTCCATTTTCCAGGACTGATTAGGGACACTGCAATTCCTGCCCTCCCTGTTATGTGCTTTTACTTCTACATCAGAACTCATGTCTCATTCACCAAGACCTAATCATACCTCCTTCACAGGTTCCACATTAGATGGCTCAATACCAGAGTTAGTGTCAAGTTTTCTTTTCTTTTCCTGTTCTTTCTGCCTGTCAAGTTTCTGCTGCTGTTTTAGTTCTTCAAGCTGTGTCAAACCATAAGAGAAATGAGTGAGCCAAAGTGACTTGGTGGTGTTACTTTACTATGGGAAAAAAAAAAAATCACTTGAATATTTCAGTTAACGTTATCTTACCCGCTGTTTCCTTAGCTCAGCTTCCCGAAGAAGAGCCTCCTTAAAGGGAGCACTGTTTGGAACTCCCAGGTCTTTCCTAGGCTTCTTGTGGCCCCGTTTCTTAGCCTCCTTCCTCAATTTTCGATGGTGTTCTCGAACCTATCATCATAAATTTATCGATTTGCAAAAATACTACACAAAATCCTGTGAAAAACAAATCTGGTTGCAGCTTAGTTATACGTGTAAAATGACCCAGAAAAATGGAACTTTAATTGTATCACACAGACACGTATTTATGTATAAAACATCAATGAAATGTCACCAGATTCTTTTTACAGAGGTTGTTAAAGTGTTGATCAAAGTTATAGACTTTCAGATCAGTGAATTACTGCACTTTCTCACGGCTATACTCTTGATGCTGAGGGCTGGTGCCACAGTCAGTGTATTGAACCTCTATTTCCTGAGATGAAATCATAGTAACCCAGGCCTACTCCTGGAGAGGTGAGGCAGAAATAGGCATTATATCTGGTATAGCTCTCCCAAGCACAAGACTTACCTTTTTTTGGATCTTATACCGCTTATGGCAGGTCATGCGTTTACTTGCTTTCTTTAACTCTACAAAGAAACACATCACAAAAAGATTAGCCACAAACGATGAGTTTTTTGAGTTTTTGGTGACTGAGCTCTGGGGTCATGTGCCTTTCTGTATTAAATAATTAGTAAGCTCAAATATAATTTAAGAATCTTTTGGGGCACGAAATACACGTGCCATTCTCAAATCCCTGAGAATTTGACTCAACAGATCCAGAGTAGAGCCCAACTTCCCTACTCCCACTCTTCCCATATTGGACTGAGATCGTACTCAGGAGTGTATGAGACCCAAAACGACAGCCACTTCTTGTCAAACAATATGAATCAAAAGGCAGGGGAGAACAGTGGGTTTGAGAGGCGGTTCTCAAACCTCACTGGGGCCGGACTGAACGTGGCCGCTAAAGGGAACAAGCGGAGCCCTAAACCATGTTTCCTCATGAAATTCTGGTCTGATCTCCACCTCTGGGAGCAGCCCTCCGTTTGCACTATAGGCCCCGCGGTTAACGTGGGGCCTTCCAAACCTTCGGTTCTACGCAGAATCAGGGCGATGGCCGACGGCCTACCCGCAGGCCCCCATTGCCGCAGAGACCAAGCCTCAGAAAGGCGCCCTGAAGAGTTCGTCGACCATCAGAGGCAGAGGGCCCTCTAAGCCCGCCCCCCGACCACACTCACTCGGACGCTTCATACTGGATGGAGATCGTAACGGCTGTGGCGGGAGAGGTAGTAGCTACAATGTGCCTCCACCGACGCCACGTGTGAACTAAGGACACCGGCGAGCGTCACGCACTCACGCTGCCGCCGTAAAGCGCACCGCCTCCGGCCCGCGTGCGCGCGCACGCAATGTCGCACGGAGCCAGGTTTGCTTGGCGGCCCCAGAGCTGGGTTTGCGGCGGCACCGGGAGGGGTGAGGGCGGTGAGGGCGGCGGGTGCTGGAGCGTCGGCCGCGGCCGCGGACGGAGGAGCAATAGCAGCAGCCGTGGCGGCCACGGGGCGGGGCGCGGCGGTCGGGGACCGCGGCCGGGGCTGCAGGCGGCGGAGCGGCTGGGTAAGACCGGGCCTGGGGCGGGCGGAGCCGCCCCTCTTCGGCTGGCTGCCGGGCCTTTGTGTGGGCCCTAGCGGGCGGGAGCAGCGGCGGAGGCCCCGCCCCGGCCGTGGGGACGCGCCGGTCAGGCCGGGCGTACGGGGTGGGGCGGGGCACGGCGACGGGCATCTAGACGGGCCCGACAGCCGGGCGGCACCTGGCTGCCGGGACAAAGGCGCTCCGCGGCCCGGAAACGCCCCGCGCCCCTTTTTCCCGCCCCCGGCGGCTGGCGGAGTGCTTGTCGCGGGCAGCTTCAAAGCTGTCAGCGTTTCCCTTAGTGCCCCCTTACCAGTGACAGGTCGGGAAAGTGTTTTATTTTCTCCGCAGGTCAGGGCCTCCTTTTTTGTTGTTTCTTGGCGGTCTGGACACAAACTCTTCTAGTGATTTTGGTTGTTTTTTTACACTTTCCGGATGACTGTCAGACCGAGTATTTTTATCAATGGTACTTGTATTTGTAGTTGACGGCAGATATTTAAGTTTCCTACACAAATTCCCAAGTTAGGAAATTGTGATATATCTATATGAGTACGTTAGATGGCTATCAAACATCATGTGGAAGAATATTGACTTGGAAGAATCTTCCTTAAGTTAAAACACAAGCGGCAAAATAATACATATGGTTTGTTAATGCTTTTGTTTAAAAAAAAAAAAAGGCAACTAAGGCGTAGAATAAACTCTGAATGCTGTGAACGCCAAAGATAGAAGGGTGGTTTTTCCTCAGGGAAGTAGGAGTATAAGTGATTTTTTTTTCGTTGAATTGTGTTTTTCATGACTTTTGTTTTAAGCATGTGTTTACAGTACTAAGTATCACTAGAAATACAGGAGAGTACTAAAAGTTTATGAACTGTCAAAATATATCATTTGGCTATACTGAGTAAATATTTTCCTAGTTGTTGTCAGACTTTGGACATGTGAACATAATGCCATTTTACAACTTGTTATCCTGCTTCAGAATCTATTTCTTTTCTCTTCATGGTAAAAGGATTGCTGACAGAATGCTCACAGGCTTTTTAAATTACACAAACTTTTTTTAATGTCCCATGTAAGGGCACTTTTAATACCTTTATTAAAAACATAAACTGATCGCCCAAACTATACCAAATATTATCCTGTAAACGAGGGCTGCAAAATGAATACAATTCTTTTCCTGTGCCCAGGGAGCATGCACTCTTAGAGTTGAAACTTAACATTTTTGTTGTGCTTTGAAGTTTCAAAGTGAATTCACAGTTACAGCAAACCAAGGGAGATATGTACGCTTTACTTTTCTCATGTTAGAAATGAATAAACAGATCTGCGGTTGTGACTCAAGCAACATCAAGCATAATTAGAGGTGGAAAAACTGGGACTCTTTTGTCTTCTGAGTTGATGTCCTGTTGCTCCTCCCACCCAACTGGCCACATTGCCTTTATTGCCAAACTTCCAAAATATATTTTAAAATGTGTCCTTTGGATAAGAAAATACTTGAAAATTATCCTTAAGTTGCATCTTTTTCTTTACTTATCCAAGTAAATTAATGATTCAAGGAGTTTTGGATATTGTATGGTCGAAAGTATACACACACCAATGATTTATATCTTTTTGTCATTTGATTTTCAGCGGATTATTGATAAAAGTAATTTTTATCTGCCAAAGTGGTTGACGTTTGGTTTTTTAACCTTTCGAAACTTCTGTATGGTGTCTTCCCAATGCTAACAGGACTTTTGGAAAGAAATGTCTTTCTCTGAATTTTTTTTTGTGGGGGTGCGGGGAGTTTTCCATAGTCTGCTCACATGAACCATTCTCTATTTGTTCCAGCTTGTCAACACTTGGTGTCACATGTGAGCCTTCCACATGTGTTCACTCTCCATTCCAGCTCTGTGGTTGAATTCTGCTCTTACTGACTAGGGGGCATTGGGGCAGGCATGCTTCATTCCTGGAATTAACAGTCATTTCTTGTGAGTAAAGGGGAACCTCAGTGAGACCTCTTTAGGCACAAGCATTTGGTTTTAGAATGGAAGAAATGTCAGGTACTTTTAATGCCTGAGCCTTCGTAGCAGTTTGTTTCATTGGCACAAGAAAACTGATATGCCTATTTTCTTCAGTTCTTTTATCTTTCCGTAGCAGTTCTACTTGAATGTTTTCTGTCTGTTCCTTCTCATTTTTACTCTTTCTGACCCTTTTTTTTTATTTCCCCTTTTCTGTCTTGTTCTTCTCTTTCAGTTTTGAATATATTAACACTGAATCAGCACTTCTAAAGCCCTGCCTTCTCCCACTGGCTTCACTTGGCCTTCAGACATAATGAGGAGACTGGCATTTCGAGGCGCTGGTTGTGCTCTGGTAAAGCTGGTAAATTACTGATCATCTACACCCTTTCCCTTTTCTGTCCTTCCTTGCCTTTTCCCTTCCATCTTTCTTAAATTTTGTTATCCTTTCCATTAAAGATTCCCTCATGTTCATCAGATTCACTTGTGTCCTTGTCATAGATTATTTATAAAGCATTGGTCCTTAGTTTCTTCATCTTAATGAATTGAGGCCAGTTAGCCTTTTATAAATAAAACAATAATCAGCAAAACTTGGCTGTCCTTAGCTTAAGCCCTTTGAAGCTTTTAGCCAGTTAGAGCCAATTGCAAACTAATACACTGTATAAGAAACCAAAACCTAGAGGAAGGAACATCTTCATGGTGGGCTGTTTTTAAATACCATGTGGACTGTTGAAGGAAGAGATAGGAGACTCTTCTTGTTTCTTAGTTGGATACCAGGATTGTTTATTTGTTGGTTTTGTTCCTGCTTTCATTCCCTGGAGATCCCTAATTTTTCTCTCCCTACTGCTAGCAACCTATTCTTTCAGCTGCGGGTGTCTTAGTTTCCTAAAATTGAATGTTGATGAGTGAAACTGAGGTCAGTTTTTTCTTTTAGCTTTAGAGAAAGACCTTTGAAATCACAACATACTGTTGGTACTGTTATTAAATTGTATAAACGTTGTAGGACCTCCTTAGTATACACCTTTTCCCTCTAGCTATAGCAGATCATTTCAATGATTACATTTCTTGTGTTATGGTCAAATGTATATATTTGTAAAGTGTGTTAAGATTAGTTACTTAGCAGCCTGCCAGAAATTGAAAGCAAATATTTATGAGTTTCCGAAAAACCAGGCAGGACCTAGAAGCTCACCTTTGAGGTCCTCTAGATTATCTACTAAACTTAAAGCTATGATCTCAGAATTCACTGGGATAGAGTACTTCATATAACTGAAAAGCAAGTTAGTTTGGGTTGACAGAAAAGTTTCAAAGCACAGTTTTGCTACTTTGGCATAGATATGACAAGTCACATTAAGTTTTTTTCAGGGTTATGTTTGTGGATCCTTCTTTAATGAGTGGAGAAAATTCATTTTCAGAGTGTTAATTTTAGGGTGCATATAAAATGCTGGAAGGTTAATTATCCTTTATCCTCCGACCTTTTTGTTCTACTCATTTGCCTCAGGCACAGCTTCCTATTCTTTTCCATGTCATGGCCTACCTGGAAAATGATCATAATTATAAGACACACTGGGGAAAACAAATGAGGCTGCTTACTTCAGAGGTGACTGCCTTGGGGGTCTCTGTCCCCAAGGCCTGCCTGGCTGCCTCGGGGGTGAGGGTTCTGTACCTCCAGCACAATGGTGTACCACTACACGTGGGTTTTCAAATTCCAGTCCAGGGTAATTTTAGGGTCTAAAGTGGTTGAGTCATTCAAAATTGGTGATACACAAACAAGTACACTTTTGCTGAATTTGTTCAGTCCAAGTTAAAATGTAGCATTCTGGTTAATGCAGGGACTAAAGCAACAAGGTCCAGGACTTCTATTGAAAAAACTTATAGTTAGTCAAGCTTCTTTGAACAGTTAAAATATTGTCCTGAGTGAACCAGAAGCTTGATATCAGGTGGCCAGCTGAGGGCTTGGTGGCAGAGTCTAAACTTAAATATAAGAACATGGCTAATTATTTCTTACAGAAGAAGTTGGATTCCATGGGTTCCAAGAGAAGAAGAGCTACTTCCCCTTCCAGTAGTGTCAGCGGGGACTTTGATGACGGGCACCATTCTGTGTCCACACCAGGCCCAAGCAGGAAAAGGAGGAGACTTTCCAATCTTCCAACTGTAGATCCTGTGAGTAACTTGCGTCACACAGTTTCTGCCTGCTTTTCCTATGATTCCCTACCCTTCCTTTAATGGTAAGCGGTTAAGATACAAGGCTTTTCCATTTCTTTTTTCTCTGGATTGGTATCCTTAACCTTTCTCTTATGAAAAGTATATATTTAGCCAAAAGTATTACTGTAATACTATAATATTATGAAACAATAAGGAATATTAGTATGTCACATTATATGTTCACTCAAATAACTGCGCTTCTCATGTGCCAAGCACTGTTCTGGTGACTAAGATATAGCCACGTGTAAGACAAGCCAATTTTTCACATGGAGCTTAGATGCTAGTGTGGGGGGAAGCAGAATGTAAACAGGTGAACAAATAAATAATAATAAAGTACTCTCAGCTAGTGATAAGTGCTAAGAAGAAAAGTTTGGGTGATTCAGGCTGTTTTGGCCCAAACCTTAGGAAAGTTTTCGCTGTGATGAGAAGGCACCAGCCCTGCAGAGCACTCGAGAAGAATGTTCGAGGCACAGAGGCTGGGTCAGGAATGAGTTTGTGTGTTGTGATTACAGAGAGATGGTCAAGAAGGAGAAGGAG